TTCACTTTCTAAAAAGGCCATTTATTTCTCTCTAGAATGATGTACAAATGAGCGTTCTTGCTCATTTTGCTTCCGAGAAATGAGCAAAAACGGGAGGGAAAACATAAAATGTTGGCAAAATCCCGCACCTAAGTGTCTGATATTAAATTTTTTTCTACATGCCCCTCCCCCCCTAAATTTAAAGCTGAATCTCTGGATCAGGCGTTTTTGCTTTATAAAGCCGTATAAATTGATACATTTAGGACGTAGAACTGAAATTGGCGGTTTTCCACTAATACTGCGAAAAACACCCTAAACTTAAGAAAACCTTAGCTTTTTTCTGAACGTCCGACAGAGTTCACGAGTTATCAGTTTAGGAGCGTGATTTCGGAGTCATCGAGAAATGGGCGGCTTTCGTCGGGTCAAAAACCGATCGAGTTAGAAAAGTACATGGGAAAACTCAAAAAATAATTGCCAACATTTCTGTACGGGAATTTCCCTGAATTATCCAAAGACCCCTCGTGCTCTGCTACTTGACTGTTTTTCAGGTACAAATTATTTCGAGATTCGTCTTTAAGCCGTCTTAAGTCGTAAGCCGGCAGGCTGTTCGAGCACATGTTTGTGCCACGTGCTTTCTTAGTACGTACTCAAGTTGCCACATGTACGGTCCGATTCAGGTGAAAATTGGGCCCCAACCTTGATAATGAAGGTACCACTTCCAAAGTGGGTACCTGTAAAGCTGGCAAGCTGATAATCGAGATTGGTTTGAAAAAATCTAGGCTAATCGCTGGAGGAAACAAATATGTGCAAATGTGTGGCAACTGTGGAGGCCACAGGCTTAAAATATCGAATGAGGGAGATAAGGGGAAACGGCGACGATAAAGCCAGGAAAGTGTGGATTTTGGAAAAGTGGCCTACAATATGGGTCTTCAATACGTACCTTTTTGCTTTCTCTGCTGCAGCGAATCATGTTCGAAAACAGTGGTGTATTGGGTGTTTTGATAACCGTTGTTACCGTTAGTGACCGTCGACCCGTTCATTTTCGTAAAATAATCTCTTCAAAGTCCTTAAAATAATCACGTCTTTTCTTCTCGTTGCACTTAAACTTAGTATCACCGGAACAGCAATTAAATAATAAAACAGGAACGATTGCTTGCCGTACTTAAATAAATTAGTTATGGAACTTGGAGGGTTTGGAGTATCGACAAGGCAGAACGCGAATCAAACCTTTCGCCGTTTTCGTTTGCGACAGAGCACTTGGTTATGCGAATAATTCGGTATGAATTTTAAGCGAACATCCATGCTCGACCATCGGTATGTTTAATTTGTTGCTAGTTTGTTAAGCTCGCGACGGTACACTAAGCAAGATGTTTTATTTAAACAAACGCGTGCTGTTCAAACGTTCGTTCGGTCGCACGAGCAACGATTCTACTTGCTGGCTCAGTACTACTTGACTGTAATCCTGCTCTAACCCGACATTTATATTTATATAAACGCTGAGATAAACGAGCGCAAACGACAAATTATTATGCAGTATATTATTAGACACCAATTTCACTACATCCGACGCGAACTACGTACAGGCTACGACATCTGCCACGCTTTTTGGCGCCAATATGAACACTCGCGAGGTATCTACCGTACGAAGACGAATTTTTAAATGTTACTGGGAACAGCGGGTACCCGGCTCAGTACAAAGTACTTTTTCGGTATCGGTTGCCATCAATCAACTCCCCCTTTGTGTCTTTTCGCTCAGGTAGTGACCGCCCAGCTTAACAACACTCAATGGCATTCCAACGATCCACAAGAATTCACAATACATGTATGTGCTTGACTTGGTGTTAATAAATAACACCCATGCTGTTAACAGTTTCGGGGAGTAAGACACTTTAATGGATCTAATTTAATTAGCGGCAGTATCTTAAAAATCAGCCCAGTATCAGGTTGTTTGTTTACCAGCGAGTTCTTAAATCGGTTTGAATGCTTCAATTTGACTAGAAGATCTGCAATTAGACCCAA